TTGTGCTTTCGCTGAGCGCTTCTCCTCTTAACCTTACCGGAGGAAGGGATGTGTGGAAGTGGAAGGCAAGAAGAAAGACAAAATGGCTGTGTATCCCCGCCTCCTTCCCGCCCATACAAATGTCGCGCAACATGTCACTAATGACCAAACTAGCGGGCCGTACGATGGGCCTTTTGACGCGTGCTAGACACCCTGTGTTGGAGGGGAGGGGGTTCGTAACAGGATCACATTTTTCCATCACATTTATGTGTCCTGCTTCTACAGGAATTTTCTCACCACGGCGCTTAGTGATAACATTTAGGTTCGTATTTGGACACGAAACTCGTTCATGGATGAACGAGCAACCCAATTCGGGTTTGAGAGGATCGTTAACGGGTGATCACATACCGTATATTTTCGGTTATCCGCTGGCCACTGGCGATAGTGAAGAAAAGGTAGGAAACTATACCTGTGTAAAACTACACTTTCACCTTATTTATTACTTTGAAGGTAGTGGGCACGATGGCTGGGCGGGCAGTTACTAGCAACGTCCTTCGGTGGAAGGGCTGCGAGAGGTACTTGCCACTTCTCACTCAGCTCTTCCACCAATGACGCTGGAAGTAACAGCCCGCCCCCAGCCATCATGCCTTCACCCTTCATTTTGTTGAATTGTGGACGCTGAAATTATCATGGGTCTGAATGTGTACAAAGAAAGTGTCTAACTTTTTCAGCTCTATTCTGGGTTCAGCGCTGAGGATCGAGGAATTTCTCAGGTTATGATGCATTATGTAGCGAATTTCGTCAAATCCGGGTATGCATTCTCATCCCGAAAATCAAAGGTTATCTTCTAAAAATTATTTTTCAGCGACCCGTCAAAGCCAGCGTCTATGCAGAAATCGTTCCCTATGGGTGACGCGTTTCATTCGACAGCATGGCCCCAGTTTGATCAACCAAATCGCGAAGCGTATCTTGAAATCAGTAAGAGTTACCCATATTTTCCATATCGATTCACAAAAAGGTTGCTGGAGAATCCTATTACAGCCGATCGACCACGCGTGAAGAACTACTATCGAAACGCTCGAGTGGGATTTTGGACTAGCTTAGTTCCAGCTATTCACTCCGCTGGAAAGGAAGGTGGAGATATACCTGAGGTCAGTTCAACTCAGTTTCGAATTTGAAGTGATTTTCCTATTCGCTTTTCTATATGAGTGTTTTCCATAACTTGAAGGGGGTGGGCACGACTGCGGGAGGCGGTTGGTTGTTGCCGACGTCAGGCTGCGAGAGGGCGTTGGGCCACACTCCACACAGGCCTTATTTCAGTGACGTTGGCCCCAACACGCTCCCAACAATCGCGCTCTGTGCCTTTACTTAGCTCTATCTACAACACAGTCGGGCGTAGGCTACGTTGAGGCAGTTGAATACTGTGACCTCACATAGTTTACGCTGATTTGGAGGGTGGATTTAGTCAACCATACTGCCCCGTTCATTAGTGCATTCGCAGACTCGGCGAGTAGTCGTATAGGGTTGGTTAGGCGTTGATCGAAAAGACCGAGGGATTGATGATTCTACACATTCACATCACACACTTCTCCACGACACGATTCCCCAGTTAGCCGGGGTCGACAAAAATCAATGCCATCTTACTCTTATTGCTAGTTCTCCCAATATTTTACTATTCGGCTCCCCTACTCTCTCATTCTCTCGATTGACACGTATCTCTTTTGATTCTCTTTTGCCCAAGATCGCCAATTTCGACTAAGCTTTGTCGTCCTTGGGGAGGCTGAGGCGTACAGACTATCTCCGCCTACACGTCCAGCATCGACTATGCCACTAAGTGATGGTTTTTCATTAAATCTGTGGAGATGCTGAAGAGTTCCAGCTCTTTTTCTTCAGTGTTTTCTTCAGGAACATCATCTACTGCCGGACCACTTCCGAAAGGACTCGTTTTTCGGTCGAGTGAGGTCATTCGCACCGTATGCGAATCATCCATTCCCGGCTCCACCACTGCCACCGTCACCTCCACCGGAAAACATAAAGAGGACTACAACTAGTAAGTTCTGAGAAAATGACATTTGTTAGTTACTTTCTTTTTGGCTAGCTCGGCACTGTCCAAAATTGTTGTAAGCCCTTTGCAACCACGTGCAGCTGGGATACCTTAACACTTTTCCCCTGGTTTGACTCCCTAGTCTCTTAAACTTTCCCTGCATCAAATAAGCCGGTTTGAAGGCCGACTGTCCTTGCTGCGTGCCTTTTTAGCCCGTGAACTTCAGAAATTTTCATATTGCTTCCACCCATTTTAAACTAAGCACCATCGCGGCACAGTTTGTACGGGTAACCCTTTTACTTGATCCAGCGTTAGCTATTCAGAGTTAGCTACATGTTATCATCATTGTCATCAACACTGTTGATACAACTGATTTAGAGAACAGTCCCCACTAGATAAGTGGGCGGAGACAGGCCGCAGTTGTGCCGTCCCTATTCACACGCAGGGCGCCTTCTGAGATTGTGAAGGAAAGAGCAATGAAAATGTCAATTGTTTGGCTTTCTCCGCCTACGCCATAAACGCTGACTCGGTCTCTAATGAAAAGAATCCTACAATCAGTCTTAGTCCGCGATGGGTTATAGTAATCGATTTAACAGCGAAACAAAAGTAAAGTACCGTTCAGCATGCAAATATTCACTTCATTTTCTTCTGTTTCAGTGAAACCGCCATCGGCGACTCCACCACCACCGCATGACAATTCAGCTGTAGCTACTAGTCAGTACAGTACCATGCTATCAGTAACGGTAGCTGTAGGATGTGGCCTTCTGTTTTTGAATATCTGCGTATTTTTCGGACTTTATCGTCAGGTACCTCTCTAGTTATTATAAAATCATCAATTACTACTCATTAAATGTGTTGTTATTTCATAAACCAACAAGTTCAGTGTGACAAGAATAAGCGATCAAAGAAGAAATTGCAACTGCAGTACCAAACTTACGCTTCAAATCAGGCGTCAGTCCCTGATCAATACAACAATCCCAACTCACCGGTACAGTTTTCTAAGCCTTACAGCTTTTTTATTTAAACTGAGCCCTTATAAACTGCCGCTTCTCATGGCTAATTGACGGATAGTTTGGGGTTACAATTTATTGTCTCAAGTATTACGAACGTCATCTGTCATAGACTGACGGAAGACTGGAATGAAATTCCCATCACCCCCCCTCCCAAC